CCCTAAACCCTAAACCCTGGTGAAGAGCTCATGAGGCACATCCACAAGGGGGGCACCTTCGGGTCCCCAGCAGCTCCGAGGGTTCGGGGAGTACACTGTACTAGAACCATAAGGGAGCTATAAGGGGTTTAGGGTTTAGGGTTTAGGGTTTAGGGTTTAGGGTTTGGTACTAGAACCATAAGGGAGCTATAAGGGGATGGGGGTTTAGGGAGTGGTACTAGAACCATAAGGGAGCTATCAGGGGATAGTGGTTTAGGGTTTGGTACTGGGGCCATAAGGGAGCTATAAGGGGATAATGGTTAGGGTTTGGTACCAGAACCATAAGGAGCTATGAGGGGATAATGGTTTAGGGTTTGGTACTGGAACCATAAGGGAGCTATAAGGGGATAATGGTTTAGGGTTTGGTACTGGAACCATAAGGGAGCTATAAGGGGATAATGGTTCAGGGTTTGGTACTGGAACCATAAGGGAGCTACAAGGGGATAATGGTTTAGGGTTTGGTACTGGAACCATAAGGGAGCTATAAGGGGATAATGGTTTAGGGTTTGGTACTGGAGCCATAAGGGAGCTATAAGGGGATAATGGTTTAGGGTTTGGTACTAGAACCATAAGGGACCTATAAGGGGATAATGGTTTAGGGTTTGGTACAGGAACCATAAGGGAGCTACAAGGGCATAATGGTTTAGGGTTTGGTACTGGAACCCATAAGGGAGCTATAAGGGGATAATGGTTTAGGGTTTAGGGTTTAGGGTATAATGTTGCTAATTATTCCCACCCATCATACTCCTTTCATAAGCCGGAACCTGGGAAGCACAAACGAATGTTTTTGCAGGGCCTGGTTGCATGATCCTCTGTACAGCTTGGATTAGGGATCAAGCCGGTGGTCTTTCCCCTGTACAAGGTGCCACTGGCTCGGGCGGATCTTCGGGCATGCAGACTCAGACATCTCCCATGGGGAGGAGTGGCTAGAAATGGAGTCGATCCTCATCGTAACGCAGTGTCACATAGCATTCTGCGGGTGGAAGGGACATCAGACTCTTGCACCTCCAACATTGGGTCCTGAGTGGGATCCCCCCGTCTGCGAGGTGCTGTGTGTCGCCTCGACTAGCATATCGCAGGAATGTACTGGTCCATCACCTTGGCTGCAGGAACATCACCAAGTCTTTCTGCCATACAGCTACCGTTCCTGAACAAGTTCAACCCTCAACCCTAAACTTCACTGCCGAGACTCCAGCCCATGTCTTTCCATGGACCTGGAATATGCAGCCGGCCTATGCGGCCTATCCATCATGCCCCGCAAGTACCAAGCCTCCTTCTCCTCTTGCAGGCGACCCTGCAGGGCCAAGGTTTCTCCATGCTTTCTACAAATCACCGCCTTTGCGCCCTGAAGCCCTGGTTCACTTGTTCAGGTAACAGAACCCGAGACCCGGAAACACCCTAGGCCCGGAAGCGGGAAGCTCAGACAACATCCCTTGGATGGAAACGGCTTCGGCCGGGTCCTTCAGCACATCCTGCGAACAGCTCTCTCCCTCCAGCTGAACCGGCGAGGCTCGTAAAGCGGTGCAACCCATGGCTTCGAAGGCAAAACGGTGCGACCCGAAGCTTTGATCACTGAAAGGCTGAGAGCATGAAGAGATCTTGAGTTTCTCACCGTGACTGACACTACTTGGTGGATCATGGGTAGTTATAAGTATGGTTATAAGTCCCCTAATATGGGTTATAACTATAGTTCACTTATAACTACCCATGAACCTCCAAGTAGCCCATTAGGGTGTCCCAGGCTGGATCTTCGGATCACTTCGTCTGAACATGTCTCTGTCGGAAGTCCTCGAGCGAACGCCGCCCAGCTGATAATTTGTATAGGGGCCTTTAGAATAACAGCAGGGTCTTGGGCATGATATAATAATCATCTCAACCCTAAACCCTAAACCCTAAACCCTACTGATCTGAGGCATCCCTCACAGCCCACGAAACCAAAAGCTGCCGAGCCGCATTTCCCAGGGCCGACAAGCTCTTGTTGATGTTCGCGCCTTCCTTCGCGAAGGGCTAGGGCTTATAGGGTTTTTCTGGCTCCTTTTTATGGGGTTGTAGGGCTTAGGGCTTCGGGTTTAGGGCTTAGAGGAAACTCTTTCTCTAAATCTATATCTATACCTATATCTATATAACTATGTGTGTATACATATATACACATGATCTTTATATATATATATATATATTTTATCTAATCGGTGTGTAGTGCTGCAATATGTAAAGAAGACTACACTGCGCTCTTAAAGTCAATTACCCTAAGCCCCCAGTTACCTACTATATAGGGCCTTAGGGACTCTGGTACCTTGTATAGTAGGTACCTGGGGGTTAGGGTTAGGCATGGCTGGCCTTCAGCGTGTCCCCCTGCGCCCCGGTGCGCGATGCGCGCTCGGACCCGGCAAGGTCGACCAGGTTCATCTTTGAGAAGTTGTTGTTCGAACCTAGGTTTAGGGTTTAGGGCCTAGGGTTTAGGGTTTAGGGCCTAGGGTTTAGGGGTTTGGGGTTTAGGAGTCAGGGTTTAGGGCCTAGGGTTTAGGGGTTTGGGGTTTAGGGTTTAGGGCCTGGGGTTTAGGGGTTACGGGTTTAGGGTTTATGGCCTAGGGTTTCCTTTTGTAGGGATCCCTTACTATGATTTCCTTGTACAACAGCTTAAAAAAGGTAGGTTTTTCAGGGTCCAGGTAGGGATTTAGGGAACCTGGGTTAGTGCTGTGGGGTTTGGACTCAGAACGGTGAGGGGAACAGCTGACTTTGGGCCAAGCCGGGAGTTGTGAGCACTTGCATCTCAAAAACGCATAGCTGTGGCATGTGATGGATGCGTGCACATACAGCTTGTCTTGCGGTCCACTCCACCGGGAAACTTGCATGTGACGGCATGCAGAAGGGGTTTGAGGTACATGTCGATTTGCCAAGCCAAGCAGCTAATCTTGTCGTCCTTCTGGTGCAGTTTGATAGTAAAGATGCCTCAGAGTCTGCTAATCGGTGTGGAAGCCGCACAACAATACTCAACATTGCTATCCACATGTCCAATGCGATCAAGCAAACCGCAGTCAATTTTCGAACTACTGTGATCCGAAACAATATATATATATATATATATATATATACATATGTATATATATATATATATATATACGTATATACATACACATATACATATACATATACATCTATA